CCTATGTTTCTTTCTTGCTGTTAACAAAGGGTTTGTTCAGCTCAAGGATTCTCAGCTCTCCCCTGGCACATTAGCGAGCAGGCCAGTGACCCTCATCTCGCCTCTTTGCTCTGTGATTATGGGACACTGAAAATCTCCTGCAGCTCAGATTCCCATAGCTCTTCTGGCCACTTCCTCTGTCTGGTGTCTGACCTGCCTCTGGGTCTGCTAATTTAAACTCAGTTCACTAGGGCCCCACCCACAACAGGAGAAGTACTCTGTTGCCTTTCCATTCTCTCAGGGCTCCCATCTCCACCTCAGCTCTGTGACATCATTCATCCATCTGCAGACTTCTTCCTGTGCTACTCCCACAGCTTCGATCATGGGAATGGATGAAGGTGGGGATCCCTGTTACCCGTCAGCTTTTCCCTTAGCTTAACTGTAAATGACCATATCGATTGCAGGAGGGCAGAGTGTCCAGTCAGCATCCCCAGAGAAGACTGTCTGAGGGGGGTTCACCTTTTCCACTTTCCTTTTAAGGATTCATTTTCCCTTTCGCTTGGGATTTGCCATTGCAATTAATCTCTCTAAATCTGTGTGTTCTGCCCTCCCTTTTAAGATTCCTACTTTTATTTTCTCTTCCTTAGTTGCTGTCTCATTTCCTTCCACCTTTTCTTCCTTTCTCCCTTCTTCCCTTTTTTCATTTTTCCCTTCCTCTATTCCACTTTTCATTTTTGCTCTCTTCTGAGCAAAACACTAAGCAAAGAACAGCAAGTATGTTTTAAAAGGTAATAATTAATAGGTAAATCTCATATGTTTGGTAGCCTTTACTGGAAAATATGTCTTTTTCAAGAAAGAATGCACTTAATAGAAAGTGCCATGCCCATGGCAGAGGGAATACCAAATAAAATGCACATTTGTTAATGCTGTAAATTCAATAAATATACTTAACTCTCCACATTTAAGAGGACATTATAAGCTGAGCAGCAGGGTTTGAAAGCTTTCTGAATACCTTCACTATATAATCTTAAGAATTAACTTCATTCATACTACAAAATAAGTTCTACTCATGCATGTTCACATGGCTATTATATTAACACCAAAGATAGCAAATACATGCCATGGTTCCCACACATTTACAGCCCCCCTTCCACCACCCACGGCCGTGTTAACCTTTCCTAATCAATCATTAGTATCTTTCCATTTGGGCTGAGAAGCTGGCTCCTGCCTTTCTCAAAACAGTATTCCAAGCAGCTTCCACTGGTTGATAGAGGATATCAGTTGAGGAGAGGTCTTATTTTGCATTCCCTTAAAAGAAGTAGAAACGTCAGATATTAACCATGATTATTGCCACATATGGCATTATGGGTTGCTTTTTATACTTCAGTAAATTATCAAAATGTGCTACCTTAACTGTGTATTATACTAATAGTCAGATACAAATATTTTAAGAAATTGACTATCCTGCGTAATTTGAAGACAGACACAGATTTCATCCTGAATACCAAAGTAGAAAGTCATGTAAATTATCTGAGCAATTCTTTTTATCTTACGCCGTTTTCTGAGTCATAGAAACACCCTGGGGTAATCATATTTCATTATGTCGCTTTAAAAAACAAGGATTAGAATTGATTTTCAAACATAGTTTAAGATACCTTTTATTATTTGTATGGAGACAAAGAGAGAAGGGGAATGACAAAAAAAAAATTTTAAATCTGCACTATGGTGATTAGTGGAAACTCGTAAGTAGAACACAAGGGGCTACACAGAAAAAATAGTTGTTAAGGGGGAAAGCATTTCGTTTCTATTTCAATTGATAACATTCAAGTTACTTTCAGCATAACACTTGGAAAAATATTACTCAACATTCACAGGCAACAATATTACCCCAGCTTAAAATGTGTGTGTGTGTGTGTGTGTGTGTGTGTGTATGTAGAGTTCCATCTAATTCAACATTACTTACATTTACCTTGACATTTACCTGGACTTTTGTAATGACATTTATACTTAACAATTTATTCTTAACACATATTCTACAATGTTATTCTCAAAAGAATCTCCTAGTAAATATTGGTCAAGAATAAGGAATAATGATATGTCAAGGAAACTAATATTGGCTTTGACTTTTAGCAATTTTTTTTCATTTCTATATAAAAAAATGAGGAACAATTAGCATTCAGGATTTGAGCTCTAGTACATGTCTCATGAACAATTCTAGGAATGATTTCAATGCCATGGAAGAAATTTCAGTAATACAATGATAGGTTGGTGTGAGACAGGTCCCACTAAAACGGCTTAGTTACATTTCATTTACTCAGAAACTCCTACCTTCCAACCCTACAGTTATAGGACACAACCCCTGGCTAGTCAAAGAGGAGTCACAAAGGTTTCACAATAATTTGACAAAAATTTATTGAGTGTCTTTTATTGCTAGAGTAAGTGTTTCTTAGAGAGTGAACAAGACAGATATGTTCCCTGCCTCATAGAGCTCACAGGTTAGTGCAGAATGCAGACAAATACGTGGACAACTACAATCTAGTGTGTTAGTATTTTCTAAATGATGATTCATGATAGTGCTGCATGGATATCACCTGGAGGGCTCTTTAAAAATACATATTCTCAGGATTCTGCTCCAAGCATCCTGAATCAGAACCATGTGTATTAGAATGCCAGGGAGGCCAAGAGAGACAGCTCATTTCCTAGAGGAAATGAATCTTGAGAAGGGATGGGAAGTTTTCAAGTAGGAGAGGCTTGCGTGGGGTTGCTATCAGGGCAGGGCATGAGCAGGTGCTGGTGGGGGCAGGAGAGGAGAATTGTGTTATAGTCTGAGGGAGCAGAAGGCATGACACCTTACATAGGAGCAGGCATTTATATGGAAGCATCAGAGCATACAAAATGGAGGGATGCAGGAGTACAGATGTAGTTGACAGCTATAAAACTACAGAAGGAAGTTCTAGCTCATGAGGAAGGGCTCGTTAAAGAGTTTGAAGTATAGTATCCCAATAGCAATTGGTAACCATTAAAATGTTTTAGGCTGAGGAGAGATTTGCTCAGGATCGCCATTAAGTCAGTGTTACCAGCTCAGGCAATGCTGGAGATAACGAACGCTGATGTACAGAGCACAGATAAAAATGATAGTTTGGGAGAAAGTGAGAAATTCCATTTGAACACAATTTTTTAATCCCTGTATTTCCATCCTGTAGCAGTTAATGGTTGTGAAGTCCAGGGGAAGGTTATGAATGATAGACAGATCTTGGAATCATCAATCATCCATTCAATAGATATTCATTGAGCTCCTCCTATGCGCTACACCAGGTGCTAAATTTAGGCATACAACCGTGAATAATAGGAGGCTTGGTTCCCACCATGGTGGATCATGTATGTGGATGTTCATTGAAACTCTAGGAGTACAGGAGATCACCAAGAAGGGTATGCGACTAAAATGCATAAGGATTTAGATGGTGCTTGGTACATGGGATAAACTAGCAAGCAAAAATCTAATAGTGATAATTGCAAAACAGAGAATTAGAATAAGTTGAAATGATGCCAAGTGATCTAATGCACAAATATCTCTTTGAAAACTGAATGACATTTTTAAAAAGCCATCAATGTGAATTATGAATATCAAGGGGGAGAGTAGTAAAAGGCAGAGGGAATGGCTAACGTGAAGACCCTGAAATGGGAGACAGCCTGGAAGATCATGAGAGAAATAGAGGGGACACAGGAGTATCTCCTGTTGGGCTCTGAAAGCCACGTTAATGCGTTGGAGTTCTAGTCCAAATGAGAAGGGAAATCATTAGATGGTTTTAAGCAGGTAAGTGACATGATCTATATTATATATATTTTTACACATCACTCTTGCTGTTGTGTGGATAATTGATTTTGGAAGATTGAAAGCAAGGAGATGCTTTAGGAGCCTATTTCAGTCATCCAGGGAAGAAATGAATGTGTCTTGGTCTAGAAATGATTGGGTTCAGTTTATTTCTCTGAGTGAAAAAGAGCAGATTTGCTAATGAATTAAATGTACAGAAATTAAAGACAGGAACAGAGAGGACTCTTAGATTGAGAGAGCAACGTGGACAGTATAGCAATTCATGAAATGCAGAAAGACATAAAAGAACGAGATACTTGAGTTTTTCAGAAACACTCATACTTGGTAATGTTTTGTTCTCCAATTACAACGTTAATTTGATGTTTTCTTTCTCCAACTACAATGGAAGCTACTTAAAGAAAAAGACCACAGCTCCTATCGACAAACATTTTGTTTTTTCCACCCTATTTTTCTCAGGTTTTTGATATGATAATCTGAAGTGAAGAAGTGCTTATTGAATGACTGGATAAATGAAAGAATATGTTTCTATGTAGAAAATAAGGCACTGTGTTTCTGCTGCTTAATCTTACTATGTTTCCTCAGACCATTAATCTCTACCATGAAGTACTTGGTCTTTATCCACTGAAATGGCAATAAGGACAAGTTGTAGCTCTTCCTCACACTTTTAGGAAAAGAAATACGAAAAACAAAAGAAAATTTCTTTCAACAGGCTTTTCCAAGAGAGCAAATTTGCCCTAGTAGAGGTTATTGAGCATCCAAGAGCTATTTGACTCCAGGAGAATGGATGTGGAGTCATTCATATTCCACATTCCGTAAGTACATTATGCTAGATATCATCTGCATGTAATTTAAACCTCATATCATCCCAAAAGGGAGACGAGATGATAAAGGTGATGATGATGATGATGATGATGATGATGATGATGATGATGACGACGACGATGATTGCCATTTCATAGATGTGGAAACTGAAGTTTTAGAAGAGGAAGTGACTTGCATAAGGTCATTTAACTAATAAGGGGTATGCATAGTCAGGACTCAAACCTGCCATGTCAGTGTTCATAGCTTTTGCTTTTCCACACTAAGGTTTCCAGTGACAGATATTAATAAGACTTTTGTCTGAACAGTCAAACAAGACCTATGAAAGTCCTATCCATGACTTCACTGGCACTCAGTCATTTTTCTCCAGGTTTCACAAACGGCAGATCAAGGGTTCTGCAGGAAGACCTGGCATGCATAGACACCTCTACATTAGTGCAGTCAAGGATCAGGAAACCCCTTTCTAATTTGGGCAACACACATATGAAGGTAAGGAAGCTGAGTCAAAAGTGCTGTCAGATACTTTTTTCTCCACTAAAATTAAACCCAGAACATTGAGGTTCTGGCCCAAAGCCTTAAAGTCTGTCGTCCAATAATATAGCTGTGTGTCCTTTATCCCAAATGCCTATGTTAGTTCATGAGCCTCTTTGCCCATAAGAGGATATGTACAGGCAGGAGAGAAGTCAGGCTAAGGTACTTAATAAATGGTTCCCCATGAAATTTTCTTCCTCTATCCAACAAACTGGAAAATAAATTTTTTATCCTTTTAATTGATGATGCAGCACGATGTTACAGATAAAAGATTTTTAAGAAAACCTACAACAAATCTACTCTATTATCTTCCTTTCCTGAATCTGCCACACTGGCTGCCCTTATTTTTTAATTTATGACAGTTCAGTCCAACCCATTCTACACACACACACACACACACACACACACAGATGCACATGATTCACTTCTATGACATCACATAAACAAGGAAACAGTTCAGGCAACATGGATTAATTTGGGGAATGTGATTGGCATTGAAGGAAACTTCTAGGTAAGGGGTTCTTACCCTTTATTGTGCCATGAAGCCCTTTTCAGTCTGGTGACTTCTACTGATCCCCTTCCCCAAATAATGTTTTTAAATTCATAAAATACATAGAATGAAGAAGAAAGCCAATTTTACTGAAATTATATTTCAAAATATAATAAAAAAGTTAATGCTGTAGTCATTAAGGCAATTTTTTACTGATATATTAAATAAAGAGATTTAGCAGTTGCTTTAATAACTACCATAATTTTCAAGTGGTGATGATCCTAAATAATCTTTAAAGCTATGTATAACAACCATAAGATGTCATGAAAAATTTCTATGATTCATATTGGTAAAAAATTACAGGCACCTGTAATATGTAGTTTGTCTACATTCAAAAACGAAGTAAATACCAAATTCTGTTATTGGATCACAAAACTAAAAATGTAATTTTTCCACATCCAGCGTCAATATTTAGGTTAAAAATTCATGTTTTAGTCTCAAAGTATTGGAGTCCTCCTACAACACTAGGAAGACCGTAAATTAACTTATATATATCTGAACTTTGCAGTCTTCAAAGGCAGTAAGTACTGTTATCTAATGCCCAAATAGGAATAATCCGATGCCCTGCTGCAAAGTGTCTTCAGCCAATTTAGACAAGAACAACTCTTAAATTATTTTTGGTGGAGAAAGTTAATCCCTGAATAATTTGAGGTGAATGGAAGTTTGCTATTCCTCTACAACCTTTCACCGGGTTATAATGAAAGTAAGTTTTCAGCCAAATCCTGCTACAAATATTGAATATATTAAACTTTTATATGCAATCAAACCTGAAATAATTGCACAAAATCTCACCTTCTGCCTGTGTAGATGCTGCAACCACCACCCTACATGAAAGTTTCACTCAAAATAGATATGAAAACATTCTGGAGGTGGGAAACTGTGACTTTTATCATACCACGCAATTGAGAACCAGCCACAGAGCCTTTAAGGAATCAAGCATCAGGGTCATCCTTGAGAAAGCTGGCTTTGAGTCTCCCCAAATTCCTACATGCTGTCTATGCAAGTGCCTGTAATATCAACAAAAGATTTTAGCCAAGTCACATCTCTGGGACAATTTTCATGTCATCTAATCAGTCAGAGTGCAGTTCTACCAGTCATGCTAAATAACAGGCCACCAAGTACACTGAGCAAATCCATGTCTAACATTCACTATGCTAATTAGCATATCCTCAAGTGCTATTTAAGATATGGAAAAAGGGCTTTTAGTAGCCACCTTTAGAATTAGCCTTCCTCATATGATGCTAACTACCACTGGTAGAGTGTGGATTCGTGATCAGAGAAAGTGACTAGCCCTAGAACTGAAGCTCAAACTAAGTAGCACATGCTTTATATTGCATAGTATGTGTCAAAGTATTTAGAGATAAATTGTTATAGACACCATAATAGTCTCTTATTCACTTTGAATACAGCAAGTGCAACACTTTAATAAATTCCTGATATGGTACGACTGTGTCCCCACTCAAATCTCACCTTAAATTGTAATAACCCCCACATGTCAAGGGTGAGGCCAGGTAGAGATAGTTGAATCATGGGGGGCGGTTTCTCCCATCTGCTCTTGTGGTAGTGAATAAGTCTCACAAGATCTGATGGTTTTATACATGGGAATTCCCCTGCACAAGCTCCCTTGCCTGCCGCCATGTAAGTCATAACTTTGCTCCTCATTCGCCTTCCACCATGATTGTGAGGCATTCCCGGCCATGTGGAACTGTGAGTCAATTAAACCTCCTGCCTTTATAAATTACCCAGTCTTGGGTATGTCTTTATTAGCAGCATGAGAACAGACTAGTACAGTTCCCTCCTCAGGTGTTTCTGGATGCCTGACTGAATGTTCACATGTCCCCAGATCTGCCATGTTGTCATTTTTACCTCAAATTGACCATCACTGAACCTTGATGTATTTTCTCTTATCTCCCCCCATCATTCCCTCTATCAAATCACCAACACTTTAAAAACACTGGATTCAATTTCGGGATTGAAATAAAATCCTGCTTTAATAAAGTCTTTAATTTATATTAATTATCTTAAATTGTCTTGTTTAGTAAGAACTCAATATATTAAAGTGCGAGTTATTTATGTATTAGTTTAGTTGTGTCCTTTTGGTTCAGTAACATTAATTCTAATTATTATGAAAAAGTCTAAACTTTTTTTTACAGGAAGCAGTAAAATGCATTAATTGTACAGGAACTAGAAAATATATGCTAGTGGCACTCACAAGTTATTACAGTCTAATTGTAGTTAATTTTATTCTCTGGGACAACTAATCTCTCGATAACATTTGCAGCGATTGATTAAAATCCACTCCTTGCTAAAATCAAGGTCTTTAGGTAATTGATGTGCTAATAGACCTGCAATTATTTGAGACTGTGCTTCCTCACAGAGAGCAAGTCAAGGAATGGATAAAGTCCAAATAATGTACCTATTTTGCAACAGAAGCTATGATAATTGCCAGGAGACAGCCTGCTTATCAGTTGTGAGAGGTTTTCATCCTTCATTAATATGTAGTTCAGTTGGACATCAGAGAAACTGGCCCCCATGGGAATATTCTCCGAATCTCCCATTATCTCATTTTCCATACACTTGGCTTGACCCACTTTTTATCTACATTTGCAGAAAGATCTGGCTTTTCACATATGAGCTTTCTAAACAATCAGCTAGCCATGAACCTACGTCTCCAAAGCTCCATGCAGTGTCAGCTGCTGTACATTTGGACAAGTGTGTACACCAATCAAATACTAGTTTAAATATTCCAGACTAAATATTTTAAAAGTAGACAAAATAAATATCCCAAAGGGCTAAGCTGTGAGTTTTCTATTCCGTGGCTTGTGCCCCCATGTGCTCACTGTGCTAGGCTCTCAGTCGGGGCTACACATCTTTAATGTCTTCAGGCATCTGGGAGAGCCACACAACAACTCCAGATTTGTTGCACATCAGGCTGAGCTCTCTACTGAGTCAAAACTTACCCACAGAAAAATTGGGAGCAATGCTTTTAAAATTCCATTAGTGAAAGAAGAACCGTTTTCTTCTATCCTGACCAGACATGATCCAGGTGGCCAAAAGAATTGTTGCTTGTGACCAATTATCTTTTGTTCTGGGGCTTGCAAGGCAGTGTCTAAGTGGGGCACAACTCTTTGCAACCTCTGCTCTCTTTATCTTTGCTCTCATCAAGAATATTCTTGTCCCTGAGTTTATAATTGAAGTTCACTAAAAATGACTCTTTACAATTATAATAGGAGGGATAAATGGGTTTATCTTTCCACTTCATCCTCACTATGGCTCAAAACAAATATCCAGTGTGGTCAATTGTAGATAAGTAACAAGAAAAACACAGCTGTTCAAGTAAAACACAGTTTCCAGGTACTACAATAATAGTTAATATATATGATGGTGCTCACTATTCCCAGGCTCTGTGCTGAGTGCTTCACTCATACCATGCCATTTAATTCTTACAACACGTAAGTATTATTTCACTTAGACGGCATCCTAACAAGTACTGCTATTCTACCCATTTTACAGATGAGTCCACTGAGGAAGGAAAAAGTTAGCTTCACTTCACTAAGTTCCCACATGGATTAAGCAGCAGACCCCAGACCAAGACCAGAATGCAATCCACTCTTTGATGAGAACATACTTGGATATGACCTATGCTATTTTGAATGAAATTTAGCAAGGAAGAACTGTCCATCAATCATTTTAACCAAGTTCACCTTTTGTTGCCATTTAAGTTTTATTTTGTCCCAGGAAATTCATAGTGAGTGATTGTGATTACAATTTCCTCATTTTCATGCCTCTGACATTCTTGTTGAAGATGCTAATCTTGTATAAAGCTGTCTTTGGAGTTGATGATGCTGCCACTTCTCACTCCTATGGGAAATGGAGAGATGTGGTGCATAAAATAGAATAAAATGTATTAGAGCAAAATAAAACCGCTAATAAGAGTAATCACTGTAATAGATTTTAAAATCATTTTAAATTTAGTTCTAATTACCTAAATCCATCTCAGAATTACTACTGATGTGATGAGAAATTCATAAATTCTGTGCAAATTGAAAACAGAAATTACATTATTAAAATACTACTTTGCTACTCCATCTCTATATTATCATATAGGTAAATTTATGCATGTATACATAAATTATACATTTTTACATATAAACTTGAATTTATCAGAACTACTCAATTTCATCCTGGCTAATAATTTAGTATTATTAACCTCCAATATTCACATCAAGATATATTCTCCTCTCAAACATGATAAAACGAAAGCATTCTAAGATTATACAGAGTGTGTTTTCTAAACAAAATTTGCTTCTCGTTTTAGAAAGTTGATGTCATCAAGGCATCACCATCAAATTTAACTTCTCTATTTTTCTTTAGATAAAAATAGATAAGAAAGCTTTCTAAGTGTGTCAGTCTAAGAAAAACTTTAATTAGAATCTCTGGCTGTTGCTTAGGTTGCCTTCTACAACTTATTTCAGCTTGACAGTAGGCAGGAGACTTCCCCTTCAATTTTAGGTCGAAGTCAGAATAAAAAGTGCTTTAGAAAAAAAAAGATAACTGTTTTCTGTTCTCCTAATTCCCTTCTGCCCATAGAATGAATCTATGCAGGATATTTGCAATAGCATCTCAAACCCACCTGGCTCTCCCCGTATTTCTCACTTGAAGACATCAGATGGCTGATTCCACAGGAGCCTGTGGTTGGATCAGAGTAGAAAACTGCAACCTGAGAAGATTGAGGGAAACCTTGCAGAGCCCCTGGGGTAGTGGTCAGGTTGGAGGTTTCACATACTCTAAACGAGGGTCGTCTCTATTTTGCTGTTCAAATCTGGTGGGCTTTCTTGCCAATGAGTTTGCTATGGGCTCAAAACATTGTTATTTTGCCTGAACAATCTCTGTGGTTAATGGTTGGTGTTAGATACTGCATGAACCTTGGGTTTGAAACTCAAGACATACTCCTGTGGATTCTCAATTTTCCTTTTAGTTAAGAGCAGAAGACCTCCAATTTATCCAGACCTGTGGTTGAGCTGTCAAAATGCCTGGTCTGAAAATGGATAGGCTTATGGCCAGGAACTCGCTGACAAGGAAACCTATAGTTGCAGGGCTCAAAACTTCTCAGATGATAGGATATGGGAAGAAGTCAATGGGTTTATTCAGAAGCTCAAGCTACAGATAGAAAATGCTATCCACGAAGAGGTAGATCAACCTCCTAACTGATGTCATTGTCTCCACTGGAGTAATTGTCCTCAAATGCAGTATCAATCACGCTACTCCCTTGCTCAAGATATTCAGTAACCAGACCCACTCTTACTATGTTGCAGGGCGTAGGGCAAGAGTACAGATGGATACCCACAACATGGCGGTAAATCTATACAAACTATAAATCAATATAACAAACTGATAAACAGACTATGTCCCCCTTCTGTGAAAAATGTGCCTCCATACTGAAAAAATTTCAACATATATGTAAAGCTATCGTTGTTGCATGAATGTGGCTAGGGACAAAGTAAAAACAACTAAACTGTATTATTGTACATTTCTGAGTATTCTTTGTAGAGCCTGATGATGTTAGAATGAAAAGTAAGTCACAAAAATGTATTGATTATTATATATTCTACAATACCCATTTTAGAAAAATTACTAATTATGTTGTATTGAAGATTTGTATATAATTAATGTTCTAGAGATAATAATGACCTAAAGGATTAAAAGTATTCAAAGTATACAAAAGTGGAATATATTTTCATTGAAGATGTAAATTAAATGTAAAAAAGTTATTGTTCATATTTTCAAAGTCTTTTCTTTCAAAATATTCAAAATTGCCTATAAAATTAAAAGGGAAAAGATAAATCATTATCAATAAAAATATTAAATATTCACAGTAAAGATTAAATTTTTTATAATCTTTAAGAATTAAATCTTTTGATATAAATAAAGCCATTTTATCATTCAACATAAAATTATGTAGTTTTATATAGATATATATTTATGCATATGTAGTGTGTGTATGTGTAGGGATATATATATAGAGAGAGAGAGAAAGAAATATTTTGAGTAATTATAAATATTTAACAGTGTAAAATATTTCTTAACCTTCATATGCAAAGTTTGGAAATATCACCCTAATTCTTGTCTCCTTTTTTCTACAAACTAGAACGTGAAGGGAAACAAGTAAGTGGACCTCTTTTTGTCCTGTTTGGAAATTGTTCTTAGTTATGCAAGAATATACTGCAGGCATGTTATCTGAGAATTGGTGATCAGTTAATATAAATTTTTAAAATTTTAAAATTCTCTCCACTTTTCCCCTCTTAAGTTCTTCCTATCTTCGAAGCAGTGTCCATTTCCAGGGCTGGCAGTGGCATATCCATAGACCTTCATAGCATGTGGTCTTCATTCCCTCTAGACACAGTACCAGAGATGTAGACAAGTGTTTCCCCGGGGACTAAATGTTAGTCACAAAAGCTGATGTTTGAGATTATGTGTTGAACTGGGCCAGCAATAAGTACTAAAACCTGAGTACACATAGAAGTGGCCTTGTATTCTTTCATACCATTTTCTCCTCTTGTGACTGTGAAATGCAGGCCTTCTTAAGCATGAATCCCACAGCAAGGGCCCCTGGAGCATGAGGCTAAGAGCAATTATGTCAATAGCTACCCTAGTCTTTACTATAAAATCCATATATTTTAAACACAAGATGGAAAATAAGACTCTATGGACAAACTCTCTCTCTCTCGTTTTTTCCATTTGATGCTTTCCTCATTCTCACACCTCCTCTCTAGCAAAAGAGAAGTGCTTTTATTATTATCCTTGCTTTTTCTTACATTTGGTGCTTTGAAAACATTCGTCCCTTTGCTTTGAAACCCTTACACCTCACCCCTTCCTGATGGATAGGCCATTAAAGACTCAAATCAGACATTACTGTTTCTGGGAAGCTTCCCTCTCTGACCAACCTGGATTAAGGTTCCTTCAGGGTACTCCTACAGCACCCTCTGAGCCTCCTTCCACCACAGAATTACAATGAATTGTAGTGTTCTACCTACTAATAAGAAAATCTCTTCTAATTATGAGCCTGTTAAGGGCAGAAACTGAATTTTATTTGATATTTTTCATCCCTCCACCTAGTACATTGCCAACTGATACATCATTGATGGTTCATAATAATCTGATAAAAGAATAAACTATTAAATAAGCAAAGGCACTTAACTTTGTCAGATTATCACCAATATACAGATGTTATCAATTCTGTCTATATTCATCTGTTTGTTTGTCGCCAGAGAGCAGAACACACTTGCTATGGAGTAGCACCTATGCCCTGATCAAACCAAACGAAGGCCCTGGGATGTCCCTCTAGAACACACAGAAATCCTCAGACACATATCTTGTTCAAGCTCTTCATGGGCCATCAACAAATACACTCCCCTCGATATACACAGACCTCCTTTCAAATAAAAGCCTAGCTGGATGGCATCAAGTCTTGCATATATTCGACTTACTCCTTATAAGCCTCAATTTCTTCCTTTTGTCACCACATGTGTGAAAAGACAGCTGATGCTGGCATTCCACGCAGAGTTTTCAAAAAGGTCAACTAGCATTCAGATTTCTGCTGGTGAAATTCATTCCTTCTCTTTCAAAAATTTAATGAGAAAGGACAGTTTTGTGAAATGGAGGAGCAAGAACAATATTGCTTAAATAAATTGGAATTTGCACTTTGATTACCCTGCAGTTTCTGCCATACTTTGCTGGAAATGCTCCCTGTGGTGCAGGTTTTCTCTGGAGTGACATCATCATATGAAGCCATCCTCCATATAATTATTTCCATCCACATTTGTAGAGGACATAGCAAGAACGTTCAGCAAAGAATACTTGATACATATAGAAAAATTTAAAACTGTGGAGTCACCAGAAAGCCCCATTAAAAGGCAAATGATATATATTTATGCATGCCTCTGACCCCAAAGGAGGTATTTCACATTCATATTAGAAAAAAGCTCTCTTTCAAACAATGAGACTCTGGTAACAGCAAATATCCTATGCCGTGAAATAACAAACAGCGTGCATAGTTTCCGCTTTTCTTGGACTAAGACTTATAAAAGGTGTAGCATAAAGGCAGTAGGCATATTTTAGTCCACATCATCAAACTTAAATCCTTCTGGAACTTAGGCTCTGTCAATGCTAATACTAAGTATTGAGATTTTAAAATTTTATTTTGTCTACCCTGGTTTCCCTTTTAATGAACTTGATTATTCATTTTAGATTATGGATTTATAAATCCATTTTAATAAAAGCAAAACACTAATACATAAAAGTATTAATTTTCTCACATATCAAAATAGCTCACTGAAAGACAGGATTTTTTTTTTTTTTTTTTTTTGATAATTTAAACAAAATTTAAAATGTGAAAGCTGTGGATGGGCTTTCCTGACAATTTGTGATTTACTCAGGCTGACTTTACCCATGGGGGAGACTGCAGCCTCCCACTGCTGTGAGTTAAAGGGCATGAGCTGGCTCTTTGTCTCTTGGAAAATAAAAGTTTCCACCATCTGCTCACTGAGGCTTTGATTCTGTTTTAAATGTAGAAAAACATGCATTTAACACTGCAGTTAGCGATAAGGTTCAAACTCATTCATTCATGCATTCATTCATTCATTCAATACGACCACTCAGAGAAAGAAAGGAATATTGGATATGAGATTAAATGCCTCACTTAATAAAACAGAAATGTAATTTTTTTCCTATAACCACTGTTTTCAAATCAGTGCCAAAAAAATCAATCTTGTTTCCTTGTCCATTAATGTGCTCTCAGTCAGATTCCATGATTTTTCAACTATTACCATTTGTGCAGAAGTCCCAGCTGATTTCACTCAGTTTAAAATTTAAGTCTACAAGCTCTATAAGTTTCTTTTGCTTTCCCTTGTCCAACATAATTTTCAGGCTTGACGACCACAACTGGCTTCTCTCTCTCCTCTCCCTCTTCTCTCTTCTGGGGTCTGGCACCTCTGGGTTGCAGCCCAGGAGGATGACTGGGACAGAGGGCAACAAGTCCTCTTATGGTGCCACTATCAGTCATCTTCAAGCTGTTGCCAAAATCCCATGTTGCAGGCAAATCAATACCTTTCCTTTTGGGTGAGGGGAGAACACTGTGCCCTTCCAAAGGCCCTGCAGAGGTATTGTCGCCTATGTGGCCCATGGGCATCAGTATCACCTTTTCCCACCACCCTTCCTTGGCTCAGGACCTGCCATAATACACTCTCAGTATCTTAATGCTGTGGTCTCCTCATGGAGCAGGCTGACCACCTGCCTTCGCAATTCTCCCTGATGTCCCCCAACTCCCAGGGACACACATCAGATTCTCTCAAGCATGGGCTTCAAAGACGTCTATTTCAGCTGCTCGAAGATCTTATTTTTATACATATATATATATATATATGTACATTCTTAGATGCAGTTTTACTCTGAATGATAACATATTTAATAAAATCTCAAATATGAAATGGGGTCAACACTGCATATCTATATAAGCAATAGGGCCTGGCCTGTATTGTATCACATACCCATCTAAACCAAAGGGCAAATACCCACCTATCTCCCCCCAATTTATGTTGTGGAGAAACTGCCATTACAGCCAGATTTGTCTAGATGTGAGACACTCTTGGGGCTGAGCTTTCAGGGTTTATAGTGTACTTTCATTTTCACATGGCACCAAAGACATTAATCAAGTTGACCTTCTACGATAACGCTGTCAAGAGCTGTCAGATACATATATTTTCACTTTTCTCGCATTTCTCGTTTCCTGGCTTGAAATTTGTAATAGTAAGTGGTAGCAACTGGTTCCAATTCTCAAAATTGGAAACTAAGTTCTGACCTCACTCGTAGGAGAATGAAATATCTCTTTTAAAATATTTTACATTTTCTGTTGTATCTAAAGGGTGACTTGCCCAACTCTGTAAGGAAAGCAAGGTCACTTTGCCCTCATGGTGATGTTTTCTACTCACTAGCATTAAGCCAAAGAGAAACTTGTCACCCTTTAGAGGTCACTGTCAGAAATCAGAAATGCTGACTGTCATGGAAAACTCTATTGCTGGGATTTGGGTAATGGGTTATCCCAGTCATGAAATAAAACTCTGTTTGCCAGAAAAGAAACCATTACATTAAACGAGACTGCCCTGCTCAATACTTTAAGTACAGAGGGAACATTACGCTATTGAGGTTAAAGATGTATGTTTTATACCATCACAAGAATAAGAGCCCTGGCTTGTTTGAACATAAGGGGTTTTAAATAAGTCACTCACACCTTCAGCCTTCATGAATCTTAGGCTTCGTCTGCACATGTTTAAAGAAACTTAACACCTCTTTAATTATACATTGTAAATCAAATTGACCAGAAGGCAAGTAAGACATAGATTGTGGGTTAGTGTTTTCAAATTTGGTTTAAATCACTACACTTTCTTCATTTTTTCAATGGGCATTACAGCCACACTCATAATCCATCCTTAGATCTCACTAAATAGGCCTCTTCACTATTAATGCAAAAATATTCAAATGTTGAGCTTTTAAAATATTTCCTGTGAAGTTATAAATGTTAATCTACAACTTTCAGAAAATCTCATACATTTCCAATGTAAATTTTTAACTTGCCACCACAAAAAACAAAAACTTTTTACCGTTACCATCTTAGAAATGAAGGTAGAAGAATTTATCATAAACCTAGTATTAGCTAAACACTTGCAGTTATGCACGTGTACAGAAATATGTCCTTCTCGAATAATAG